GCCCCGGCCCCGGCCCCGGCCCCTCCACCGGCCACGCACCGCGCGCCGGGTCCGACAGGGCCGACAAGACCCCGCGGCGGGACCCACGTACCGGTAAGAGCCGCACGGCGCCACGCGGATACCGCGCCCCACGGAACAGCCGTGACTTAAAACCAAGAACAGCGCGCTCACTCGGGTGCCGTCCCTGCGAGGAAGGCRGGAAACTACAACAGCCTGCTCTAGAACAGTAGCCAAAGTCCATTATTTTAAAAGGGAGAGTTTAGTATAAGAAGTTTAGTATTATGTATGTGTACAAATGTATACACTTTTTATATAACYGTAAATAAATATATAATGACACCTCATGCTCAGCCAGATGCAAGAACTTTTATTTTTCAGTCAACAAGCTGAATGTAACTGTCTCAGGAAACAGTATTGGAAGTTTAGCTGCATCTTCTGCCTTGGTGCTGCACGGAGGACAGGCCTGACACCTACGGAGAGATCTTTACAGATGAACCCTTTCAAGCAACTACAGCCACTAAAGTACAGTTTCTTTTTTCTTTCCTTTTTTTTTTTTTTTTTTTTTTTATCCTCATACGTACAGAATGCTAACAAATAGCAGCATTCTGGACAGAAAATACTAATGAGTTTAATAGTTGCACAACTTATAACACTGAAGAAAATGCAGCCATCTCAATACATCAGAATTCAAATTGGTATCTTCCATTCAAAACTGCATGTTAGTCTGTTCCAAAGCTCCTAAATTAACAGGAAGAGTTTCTTTCAGGCTTGAAAACAGTAACTTGATCAGGGAATGGAGGGGAGGATAGACAGAGAAAAAGGGATAAACACACATTTAATAGTCCATTTTTCCCGTAAAAATTTCCCTGCAGGCAAATCCTCATTCCTAGGCAAAGAACATTAATTTCAACTTATCTGTCTGTTCACTATGCATTGCCTTGGGCCGCAAACCCGTAATTCCAGCCTTCAGAGTACAAACCAACAGACARAGACACTTGCACGTGAGGTCTGCACGCTGCAGCCGCCAGCACCCGCACCCACAGCACCCCAGTGCACGCAGCAAAACATCTCTCCATCCCTCCACGCACTTTAAGCTCTCCTAGAGGGATGCTACAGATAGCAAAGACAATTGAAAATGTTAAGACTCTTAACAGGTTTATGGGCAATATATACTCCAGCTCTGCAGCTACAACGTGCACTTCCCAGTGATTAAGTATTGACACGGCTCTTGGAGAGACTGGCTCATTTTCAGCAATTCCATTCAAACCGTTACGACGCGGCTGTGTCCAGATTTGTGACACAGGAGCCCATTGAGCTGACTTCTGTCCCAACTCGCTGCACAAATGGGCTCTTCTGTACTGCCTGTGACCCGTAACCTTTATCCACCAAGATGGAAAAGCCCGTTTCCACTTTGGGTGAAATTTTATATGTAGCCATTCTTCAGCTGAGAACCGAAACATGGGAAAATGCCTACCCTTTGGAAAAAGCAGAACAAGAGCTGATATTGTTTTGGCCTCAAAACGAGTAAGATTTCCTTCCCTGGGGCAGCAAGCTAGTCTAGTAATTAATTACACTTTCTCTTCRAGTCAGACAAAGGCTGAAAATGAGAAGCAGCATTTTTGTAACTGAAGGGAAGGACACGAGAGATCGCAGTTCATGTTATTTCTGTTCTCCTATATATTCCTTCCCATCACATTGAGAAAAACAGGAGCAAAAGCTGGCAATTTTCAGGCAGCTACAACCCTAGCACATTTAACAGATGATGCCTTCTTGTCTTGCACTACCTTTGTAGTTTGCCACTATTAGCCTGCTCCTTATAGGGACACTATAAAATGCTTTGGGGGCAAAATAAAGTGTTTTTTTTTTTTAATAGGTTTTCTAGAAGTCCTAGAGTAGGTATTTCTTTTATTCTGCATCATCCTTTAAGTGTGAACCATTACTTGCACAGTCTTTGCAATTGCAACGTATTAGATAAACAGCTTTAAGCAGAATAGAAAGCTAAGCCAAGGTGCTAACTTCCATCACCTACGGGCTCTAGATTCTTGCATCCTTAATTACTAGTGGCTGAATATTTGTAGGAACAAGGATACTGGTAATTAGAAGCATTCCCAAGAGGTCTCCAACAAGTTGCTGGCAGAACCCACTCCACTATGCTCAAAGGAAAAATAACTTAATGCCATCATTTTTAACCTTGAGCCATGTAATATGTTTATATAATACTTGTTTATAGACTAAATCTAATGGTATATATTTGCATCTGTTTCTACCTGAAAGCAGTGGGAAGAGGTTCAGGGTCTGAACTTTCACAGGTACTTCCAAATGCAGTCAAACTAATTAAAGTTTTGGATTTTATGTCTTCCTGCCATACTCCTTTTGGAAATTTAGAAATACTTTCCAGAGCACAAACGTTCTGGCTCATAATATTGAGAAACAAAGGTCTGGAAAGCCACACTATCTTGTAAAATTTCCTTTATTTCTACAGAAGAGATCCTGAGTAAAGGTGGTTGTTAGTGAGAACATTTGTAGGGATCCAAGATACTTTAAGCCTGCAATAAATGCAAGTGCAGAAGACTTTTTGTTCAGGCACCCAGCAGTCTTTGGAAGAATGGYATTTCTAGATTAACAACCCAGAGACTGATTTGGAAGCACATGGAAGACCTATGCTCCAGGTAGCCTGAGCAGCAACCTGAAAATCCAGAACACAAATATCCAGCTTTGGAAAGAATTGGGATGTGTTACGTGAACAAACATGGGCCTTCTGAGCCCTCCTCTCTCCTGCTTCCCAGGGCATCGGCCCAGCCTCTCTACCAAGAAGCTAGACCCTATCAGAGCACAATTAAGTGACAAAAGGAGCACTCTGCCTGCAGCTCTAATCAAGCTCCACAGATGCTCACTGTTTTGCTGCGGAGGTCGAGCAGTCTGCAAGCCCCAGGTCTGTACCACAGAACAGTTTACTGGGACCATTGCTGTGTGACACACATGAAGTGTGTCACAAGATCCCAGTCCTAGGGATTCTGGGGGTTACTGAACACACTGGGGTTSAGGGGGGCTGTGTAGAAGGAGGTGGCATTACAGAATAGCTGAGAAGAAAGGGGAAAACGGCAAGTGGGCACTGTGTGATGCTAGTGTTGATCACAAGTAGATACCTGCACTAGGATGCTGGTAGGGGAAGAAGACCTGGACAAACTCCTGCATCCCCAACTCTGCAGACCTAACCATGCATGCAGTTTAATGGTAGCTTAATATCCTGTATTGGCTTCTGAGTCACTGAGTACATAAATGCTTTACAGTTACATTTTCAAGGAACAGAGTTACCTTTATGAACAACGTTAACGCTTAGCTCAAGTGGAGGTCATGTCTTTAAATGCTTATACTACTACAGAAACCTTAAAGTCTTGGCATAGCAAGTGCCAAAAATAATTCCATCAACACAACCTGGCCTGCTGCCCTTGAGTCACATTTTCTTAAGAAAATAATAAATTAACTAAAGAACTATCCTTATGGAGTATTTACAGAACAATGTCTCCCAAAAYATCTAACTTCTTGTACAAAAATTTTAATATTAAAGCACTCAAGAAAAGCATCTAGAGGCTTATTACAAAGCAGCATTATGTTAATTTTAGACAGTGYATAAGAAAAAGAAAACAGTCAGTAGTTTTGCTTATTGTCCTCATTTCACCTCTGCCACAGGAAACAAGACCTTTCTTCTTCTGTTGACTCTTGCTGAAAACCGGAAATCTCATCTATGTTTACTGTAGACCCAATTTCTGGTACTTGTAATCGTATCTATGAAAAAATACAATAAATTAAGTAGTGCAAATAATATTACAAATTRTGAAATGCATGAAAAAGCTTATTAATCTGATAAGCTATTTAGATTTTTAGCATAAATCCATGTTATCATTTATCTTTATGAATCTGGATCTTGTAAGGGCAGCTGCTAGTGAGAAGAAAAAGTTTTGAGTGCATTCTTAAGGAAAACGAGYATCATCTGCAAGATTCCTTGAGCAGACAGGCACATATAGCATACGAAGAACCTCTCCTTCAGGGAGTCTTAGTTCCAGATTCCCACGTTTCTCAAGAGATGCAATAAAAATACAAACTTTTGTTCTGACAATAACACCTGTTGATTTATGAACTTCACTTGGCTATCAAATAGGACCTATGTTCTATATGTCCCAATTCTCTTGAGCAAAGACAATATTCTGRTAAAATGAGTTCTTCTATACAAAAGCATCAAATGTTTGTCACTAAACACACCTACACATTTAAAGCATTTCCTTGCATTATCCAGCATTTCTGGATAGTTTTTGTACTCCGTTTGTGAAAATATACAAAAATATCTGGACCCAGGAGCCTATAGTTTCGGGGTTTCTTTGTTTCTTTTTTGTATATCCAGTATTTTTTAAACTTACTATTTGTATACATTATCTCTTTATAAAATAGCATTAATAACTAAAATTAAAATAGTGACCAGTGAATATAACCTGCAGAGTATCTGCAGACATTTAAACTTAATTTAAGAAGACATACGCCATCCGGTGGCATACGAAGAAACTTCAGGAGAGTTTGGCAAGATCTCACGTCCTCTTTATGGGAGGGATCTGTTTTGTGCTCAGTTCTCGTTTTTGTTTAAGATGCAGGAAGTGAAGACAGGAGCTCCCCTTATGTCATTTAAAGGTCTCAGAAGGAAAAAACTACAGCAGTGTTTAGAGAGATGCTAACAATCGCTACAGGAAAAGACTATCTTTCACATGAGCTACTTTCAGAGAGAAACATCTGGGTAATACACAGTTYAGTATAACTGAGAAAGATGCAAGAAGTACCTCAGTAGATGAAAGCTAAAGTCTGACATACTCTAGAAATAAGGCACAGGATAATAATTTTCTGAACAAGCTGATCTCTGCTCTAGAGAGTTCTCATACCAATGCCGAGCCTAGAAGTTGCAGTAAGGAGCTAAGTAACTAAGCTTGAAGAGGTGCAGCCATTCCCAGTTACCTAGCAGTGCCTTCAGACCTTAACCATCGAGCCCCTCAATGGTTAAGGGCAACCATCGAAAGGGCAACACTGCTAGCAGGTTTGAATATACAGAAGTTTAATGAAAAGTCTCTCCAAAAATGCTAAAAAGCGACCTGAAGATGTGCAGCACAGACCTTGCGGTTCTAGAAGCTTAATCACAGCTCTGTGGACAGAGCAAGCAGAACTATTTTCTTACTTACCTAGGGAAAGAGTCTTTCTAAAGAATCTCTGTAGTCTCTCCARAAGTTTATATGTTAGTTTAAATTAAACAATGGTTTTCAAATACTGAAGTACAAAGCTTGAATTCTATTCAGCATGATTCACCTTCATTAAATTTGCACTGTTCCTTAAACAGCAACAAAACTCTCAGTGACCTAGATCCTGYACAGGATCCAACAAATGTCGTCTGTTAAAGGAAACACTCCACAGATGTTTTTCTGTATCTTGTGTGGACACTGAAGCTAACATAGGGGCAAGAAAGAGGGATATTCGAACAAAAATAATTGAAAAGAGAACTAAATGTATCAACCAGCTCTAGCCTTAACAGTGACAATAAAAAGCGATTTCTATGGTAGTGAAACAGAAACATAAAGGCTTTATAAAGAAGTTCTAGTGTCAGCTAAGTATTCAGCAAACAGGAGATGAAGCTTCAGGAACTTAAAAAACAAGATGAACAGATAACCAAGATGGGTAGGAAGTTACTGGCATGCAAAGGCAAAAGSATTTCCTTTTTATATTATCTTCCTGTCCATACGGGGACACTTAGAGAAACACTGACTCACCTAACTACAGTCAGTAGTATGGACATGCATATGGACAGTTGGGTGAATTCTTCCTCTACTATCCCACAGACATACATACACGCACACACTGCCTTTACGCTCCTAGGACTGTATGATATTGTATGTCAAAGATCATAGAAAAGAAAACGTTAGTGTAGTTTATTAGTCAAGTACTGAAGATGAATAGAAAGAGAATATCGTTAAGTCAGAAATTAAAAGATTTCAGAGTATTTCATTCTTTGCTTAGTGATTTTTGCAAATATTCAGACTTTTAAAAAAAACCCACAAATCCACAAAAACAAAACAAAAACACCACGCATAAAACACCTTACACACTCCAACAGCCAGTTAATCATCCAGAGAGCAGAGCAGGTCTATATTCCCTTACCTTCGGGCATTCTTTTGGGAAAGCAGATTGCACTTCTGTTAAGAGGCATTTTGGAAAGCCTGGAAGACCTGTGACCTGGTGAAGTTCTAACAATGGAGCAGATTTCTCCTCTATTACATATAGGCTGAAAAGATTAGTGACATTTAATTCACACAACTATTCACACAGAAGAAATACTCTTCTAGCTTTTTTTCTAAGAAAAATCAAAAAATCTGGAACMATGTTGACAGATTTCAAAGAGTGTCATTAAAAATATTTAAGACTACTCAKGTACACTTAACATGCTGTAACAAAGAGCAATGGAAAGCTTCACAGCTTAAATGTTCTCTTCAGCTATGTGTAAGAGTGTAAGACTTCAATACACTATACTCTAAATCCAGTTTTGGCATGCTAGTTTTAAAGAGTTCAATAAAACTAAAACCTGAATAATATTATTTTCTTCTGGCCTTTGAGGAATAATTTCTGAGCTCAAAGATGCAGGAACTCTTTCTTCTGAATTTACATACGGACCTGAGGTCTTGCCCACATAAGGCTTTCCACATCGGCAACAAGCTAAGCTACAACAGCGCCACAATAGAAAACACGCAGGAATAACTCACCAAGTAATTAACAGAATAATTCAAACCGGCTAATATTTGTTGACTCATGCAACAGATGTTTTATTGCTTCAAACATATGACTTAGCACTTCAGTCTCCTAATCCTAAGTGATTATCATCTTGAGCCTCCAGCAAGATCTTGATGTTTTTCCATTTGTTAATCTAATATTCATAAACTGAAGTTTGCTTGCAGTAAAATACTGAGTTTTTACAATACTAGGAAAGTCCATTTTTCCCTCTAAATGAACTAGTGTTGAATTAAGCAGTCTATGTATTAAGCAGTGTTCCTATTCTACAGAACTACGCAGTTTGCTGACTCTGTTAAAGAACCACGCCATAAACATGACAGAGATGTCACTTTTATTGCAGCGCAGAGGGAAGTGGTAGTATTGATAAAGAATTCAAATTGGCATTTATTTATCAAATTGATCTGGGAAGACAACATAATGGAGGTAATGCTAGGAGATCCCTCCCCACCTCCCAATCAAAAGTAGTTTTAAGAACACAGAATATATGTATATACACATATATTTAACTGTCTAGCTAATTGAATATGCTTTACAACTGCATTAYAACACAGGTATAGCCTGAATTTAGTTGTACTGTGAGGACTAATTTCCCTTGTTTTAATCACTAAAAAAAGATCAGGATAGACACTCACATCTAGTTCTGCAGGCTGGGCGTAACCAGGGATTTTTATTAGGGCTTTGTTATTCTCCATGATCAGCATGGTAGAACTCATTTGCTAAATAAAAACAGAGAATTTTAAATCAGTTTGAAATTGTGCTGTAATTAATTAAATACTAATTCCTACAGTACTCCTATAGCACAGAATATTGCACCATTATTAATAGTATCATTACAAATTATTATTAATTCTTATGATTTAAGTACTCAATTATAATGCTTACTTTGTCTCACGCGCTTCAAAATTAAGACTAAGAAGCAGTAATTTATTGTAACTAGGAGTTAAAATACTTTCTAATATATCCTATATTTAATTTCAGCTTCTGTTACCAGTCAAAATTCGCTTCAATTCTAGGCCTTTGTTCATCACTGGAGCATACTAAAAATTCTTACCACAGCATCTGGCTTTTTGGATGGCGAGACTTGTGCTGTCAACTCCATTGATCTGGCTGAAGTGTTTTCTGGGGCAGATTCAAGCTGTCTGAATGATGATGCATCTTCTAAAGGCCTAGAGAATTCAGCTCTTTTCTTGCATTTCAGCTTTTTGGCTTTAGTGGCTTGATTGTCAGGCTAAAGTGTCAAATAATTACACTTCACGTTATAAAGGAGCCTTATAGTCTGCTAAGTGCTAACAAGAGACAATGTCACACCCAGATCTACCCAGTAGAACAATCAGCCCGAATGGAGGGAGCTTACGGGGTACCCGTGCCTATTCCTGCTATTTGTTGCCAAGGGCAAGCCCTGTCCTCACTCCTCCCTGCGGCCTGCTCCATCAAGCAAAAGGAGCAGCACCTGTCCTTCCAGGCACAGCCTTTCACCCCCATGAGGAGGTGGCAAGCCATTTATTTCAGCCTAGCTGTTGTATTATTAAAAATGTTTCACCCTTCTTTCCAGTCCTACCAGTGAAGAACAGTGAAGATCAGTTTTTAGGTCTGGAGTTCTCTCTCTTGCAGCTGTAATTTTACAGATTTTTTTCCCTGTAATAAATTAATRAACTTTAAGACAAAGACCCGCTACTCTCCAATCCATGTCTTACARGATTGCACCTATAAACACATGTAGCATTTTACACCTCCCTCCCTCCTAACAGGGCTGCATTCCTCTCCCTTTCCTTGAGGAAACATGGTTGCTTATTAATCTGACGCTCACCTGGTTATTTTCCTACTAGATACACATACTGTGGCAGCAGMAGAATTACATAATCACAACAGTCTTTGCCAGTGGCAACTTCTGCTGCTATTGCAGTCCAAATTAAGTAGAGGAAAATTATGTGGTACCTGGGCCACAGCCAGAACTGCATCAGTCACAGTTTAGACCTGCAGCTGCACAGGGGAATCCTTACAGCACTTGAGAAGGTCTGATAGGGACTACACAAAAATAAGCAGCGTGACTCAAACAGCTCCCTTCCTGGGTAAGTTAAACAAGAAAAGCTGAAGTGTTTTCACTGAGCATCACTTGTGATCACATGAAGTAATATAGTCTGTGGTTTGTGTTTTCTCCTAACAACTTAGTGAACTAGGTCTTATTCAGAAGACAGATCTTAGATTCACACTTCCCTTCTAGCCTCCGTTGAGCTTAGCCTGTGCTAGGGGAACAACTGGCTGAGTGGAAGTCCAGTTCTATTATTTTCCCATCATTTAAGTTTAGTTCAAAAATTCTGTTGTCTTACAGCTTATACGATTGTTTTAGGTCACTATTTTACCTGCTAGGGTAGTTGAAATATTTAATTCTGAAGAACTGTAATTGCATTTTGATGGTTTATTTCTAGGAAAAGGAGGGAAAAAAATCAGCACTACTTACAATGAAATCAACATTTATAAAACAATGTAAAATAAAATCACATAAAAATGACAGAATGAAAAAAAAGTTAAATCAATTATACTTCATTTTTTTGACAGTTCATCATCACGTCATCACTTACTATGAAGATATTTGGAACTTAAAAAGATGACCGTCACTGAAGTATGCCACACAGAAATATATAAGGACACAATACATTTAAAGAAGGACACACGGGAAAAAATTAAGAGTCACAGAAAAAAAAAATCAGATTGAAAAATGTGAAGATCTATGACACAGCAAAATAGATATGAAAGCAGTATTAATGGAAATGTCTAAGAAGAGCAGAAGCAGCAGAACATTAGTTCAGAGAGGACACTGTCCATAGGAGAAAAGCTAAGAAATGTTTGTGTTTATCTCAAAAGGCCTGCATTGTGCCCAAGTATTCTGATAAACGCTCAGCATGGATGAGTTGCCCACAGAAAATGCTGCAACCTGCACCCTGCAGGAAGATGGTAACAAGGCTGCTACTTACCACATCCATCATTTCTCTTTCTGCTAGTCCAACTATAAAATGGACACGCATTGAAAACAAATAATAAAAATTTTTAAGAAAAATAAGAAAAACAAACAAAAAATAATAAAAATAAACTAATACAATTAAATAATAAATATAATAAAAAATAAAATAATAAATACAGTGGGTACAACTTAAGATTTCTGAAAGCTGAAATCCGCATGCTTCTGAGGCAAAAGATCACCTCATAATAGCTGAGGACTCCTAAAGGATATAAAATATCTGCCCCAAAACTGCTTTTGTCAAACCCAAAACCCTAGAGACGCAATGGAGACTTGCCAACCAGCACCTCCTGTCCCCTGTATGACACAAGCCAAGTGGACAGACCATTTGGATACAAACACACAGGTGCTTTTCAGTGAATGAAATTAGCAAGAGAATGAGTAAGAGTAAAACCAACTTCTTTAGAAATTTCACAATTATCACAATATCACCTCTCTCTTTCATAAGGCTAGGGCAAGAGACTGTATGACAGATTTCCCTGCTTGTCTCAGTGCAGTATTTCCAGCAAAGCCAACGGTGGAGACAACGGTAGCTGAAACTCAGCAGAAGGGTTTGCAGGATCAGAGGTTTATTTATAGCACGCAAAATACTGCTTGGAAGAGTTAAAAACTGAATGGGTTTAGATATGTCAAAGATTACCTTCTGGTGTATTGGTCTCGAAAATCCTCCTGCATAGGTTCTAAAAACAAACAAAAGTCAAGCTTTAAAAAAGCCAAGCAGTCTTACAATGTTTATTGCACACTAATTATAAAGCAAATATTAGAAATAAACAGAACACTAACAAGAAGCTATCTCCCATTATAGAGAAATGCCTTAAATAAAATGATCATCATAAATTCTGCAGAGATCTTTGCACTACAGTGAAATATGTTCACATTTATGTTTTGAAGTATTTTAGAACAGAGTTACCTAATATTGCTGACAGATTTGAGATCTGTGGCATCTTATCTATGGTTATTGCTTTGCTGGAGTCCAGGAGAGTTGAGTTCTTGTATTTGATAAAGTCCTCGAGGCAAAGGTTACTTCTGTCTGGACATGGAAGAGATATTTAAGCTTTGATCAAACTGCCAGCTATCATATTCGCAAGACAGAAACTTTAGAAAAGGGAAGACATTGCCCTGTCCAAGGCCAGGAGGAACAGATGGCTGAATAAAAGACCAGTTGGTCATCCCCAATAAACTGCTTATGTCAACTGGAAATATTTTAATTTTATAGTATGATTCAAATTACGCCAGGAACTGATTCACTCTGAATTGGGGAATCAGTTATACAGATTCCATTTTAAGCCTGGCTGAAGGCAAAGATCTGACCTGGGGAGCTAAGGAAACTAAAGCCATTAGTCTTCCTATTGCACATACTGCTCCTATCACTTCCAGCCCAAACAGAGCTTTAAAAAGTCAAGCAGTCTCACCTGACCAACCATCTTCATCTCTGAATATTTCAGGGGATGAGCATACATTCACGCTGTCATTAGAGCCTGTGTTATAGTCTGCAGTGGAATCTACATCTAAACACTCTATTAGAAAGGTTGAAACACCTGTGGGAAGAGTCAATCCTGTACCTACAAAAAGAAGAAAAAACACATCATAAAGAAAGAAAAAAAGGTATCATCTTGTACATGCCAGTGATTTCTCTTATTAGTGGGTCTAAGTTTTACTCCTATGTTGAGCTAAATATTGTTAATYCAGTATCTTATACTAATACACAATACACTTAAAAAAAAGGGGGGGGGGGGCATCCTGAAGACTGATTTACACCACAATTAGCTAACAGGAAATATCTTACTTGTCCAATGTGCACTAAAATGTCTCGCAGATATTCTCTTTAGTATAATCTCTCTTTCCTCTAATCAGTCARAGAGTTCTCTCAACAAATCTTCAACATTGCCACAGAAGTTTGAGCTCAGTAACTACTTTTAATTATTAGAAGTGTTCTGTACAAAGTTTCTATCCTTAAATGCAGGGTAATAACCACCTGCTTGGAATTACTTCCTGTGCTGTTAGAGCTGCCAATTCACCAAGTTTGCTGAACAGTGTTTTCCATTTCAAAGGCTGCAAATCAAAATTTTGAAAGTGTGTCCAAAAATAAGTGCTGCGAGCAGTGCCAAAAATAAGGCACTGACCAGAAGTAAAAAATGGTTTTCCCTGGAAAAGTCTGTAACAGAAAATAAAGACGAAAGTAGTACTCTACATTCTCTATCAATAACTAATGCCACAAGCTACATTCTTATATGAATTAATCTGGGAAATAAACACAGAGAAGCAGAACACTAGTTTTGTGAAGAGCTAAATAAAAGCAAGGTAAGTTACTTTTTCTGAAAGCCCTTTCTAAAAGTTAAGTATGAATCACACGTATGCTAGAAAGAGGCAGAAATCCAACTAGGCCCTTTTGGATAACCTGGTAGTCTCAACCAAACAAGAACACCACACAAGTTAGAGATTCATTCCAAGGCCAGTACTTCTATAGAACTGGCATTAAAATTCATTGCAAGTTGTACTCACTTGAAGTCACTTCAGCATTTTTCAAACTTTCTTTACTTTCAAAGTTGATTACTGAAGATTCCTAAAATTAGATGTCAAATACAAAAGAAATAGAGAAATTTGATTTAGATAAATAAATACAGTTAGGTAAGTTCCTACATTTTCACTTAGAAACACAATTCATGCTGCTCCCTTTCAGAAGTCCAGAGCATTCATATAAGTACAAACAACTTTATGTGGTTTGGGATTTATATACTATGAAATTATTTCCAGRAATGTGAATAACTGGTGGAATCTAAATAAGAACTAATATTTTAAAGACAAATAGTTCCACATCAATTTCACTTAAATCAATTTCCCTTAAACTTGTGTCAGATTTTAGTCCTAACATATCCAGTGAGCTACTACTTTGCAATTGCAGCACTGTCGCAAAACTCTTCTGCTCAGTCAGCTCAAAATACTTTGTTATGSTTGTACAGATACGAGAAACAGCACAAAACTGACCTGCCAAAGACTAACACTCAGCCCGTGTCTGATCTAAAATTAAGCAACTCTCTGGAACAACAGTCTAATGAGCTGTATACCACACAGCACAACTGCTAAAGCCTTTCCTCATTAAGAATAATTAGCATTGATGTGCACTACCACACTTCCAATAGCTGCAATACTTTGTATTGGTATTGCAGAGAGGGAGAAAAGAAACACCAAGCTCCAGGATCAAGTTCAGCCTGAAAAAAACAGAAGCTTGTGTAGCTCACATGAAATTCTACTTGAGCCGAAAAATAAATTTGTAAGTCACTAGCATCCAGATTTGTATTTATTCCCAATAAACTGTTAGTGGCTAAAGAAGCAAATAGCGTTATAACCTTCAGCAGTACAGCACTTTCTCCCATCTGCTCTTCAGTTTCTTCCACAATGGTCACCTCTTGGACATTCAGTTGAGTACTGCAGTTGAAAGAACAGAACAGAGCAAAGCTCAACATATACAGCTATATATTCAATCAGAAGCCAACAAAAATTACACGATATGTGTATGAGAAGACATCAAATGGTCTTATAAAAAAAAAGTTTATCAGGAATTCAGACTGGACTGTGTCCAAGAGACATCTCACACAAGCAACGAGTACTCGTTAGTGTTTATGGCAGTGTATTGTTCTAACAGACCTTTGATTAGATGAATGGCTCGCTTGTGTCACTTCAAGCTTTTCTTTAATTTTCGGTAAGGTTTTCAGACTGCACTTTCCCTTCAGGCCTAGAGAAGAATGAGTATTTAGTTAAATAATCTTAGTTTTATCATCAATATTTAGATTAYTATTTCTAAGAAAACACTCTTAACTGTTCTTTCCTTCACACCAATAGCAAACTTTGACCCTAATTCTACAAACATCCTGAAGTCAGAACCTGGCTGTTTCTGCCAAGCTTCATTTATCAAAATATCAGCAAGGACAAAAAAAACCCACCAGACTCTGAGAAACACGCAGGTGTTTTAAAAATGTCTTGATTWAAAAAAGTGACCTTTACTCTACATACACCAAGGCCTGAAGATTTTAAACAGGGTTTCACCAACATTTCTACATGGACTGGTCATCACTGCACATCATCTCAAGCATGTGATTACTGGACGCTGCATGGGCAGCCTCCTGTTTCATCCAAGATGTTTCTATATATTAAGACCAAACAGACCTCAAAGGGCTGCTGGTTGCAGGGGTCATGATGCAAAGTCTAACCTTTAAAGATCAGTGATCACCCACTGATCTTCCCCACTCACTGAAGCAAGTGACACCACCCACACCAGCCTTTAGTGCCCTACTTTGGGCCTTATTTTTTAATTCAAAGCCTCCAGCTCCAAACTTGAGAGCTGCTAAACTGTGCTCAGCTGTAGGAAAGGCCAGCCTTTTAGCAGAGTAACTTCATACAATGACTTAAAATATCCTCCCAAAGGAGAGGGCAAACACTTCGCCATGTCTTTTCCATTGGAAGAGAAAAAATTCCCTGATTAAAAAAAAAATAATAAAATAAAAAAAAAAAAAAGAACAAGGTGGAAAACCCCTATTTTTTTACTAAATGACTAAAACACAAGAAACGCCCCCAGAGGCCAGCCGAGCTGCCTCCCTTCTCCACATGCCACCTGGGCAAACTTTAAACTTATTTTAAGAGCCTCCTCCCCAGCACAAGGCTCTTGAGCAGCACCCTCACTTCCCCTTCACACGTTGCCCCGGCCACAAACCCCAAATAAAACACATATAGCCCGGCACAAGGCGGCGCTGGGCGGGAGCGGCGCTTACTGCTGTGCAGGGGCGCCGCGGGCCCGGCGCCGCCGAAGAGGCGCCGGCGGCAGGGCCGAAGGGCGCAGCCCGCGCGGCTGCGGGCGGCAGCGGCGGCCCCGGGCAGCGGCGAGCAGCGGCGCTTCTTGCGCGGCGCCGCCTTCGTGCCGCGAGGCCGCTCCATGGCGGGCGGCGGCAACGCGACGCCCCGTGAGGCGCAGCCGCCAACGGCCGGCGGGGAGGTGAAAAAGGGCGGGAAAMGGGCCGGCAGCGCCGCCCTCGCTCCCGCCCGCCATGATGGCGGCAGGGGGCGCTGCCCGCCCGCCGCGCTCCTGAGGCGGCTGTGATGGCGGATCCGTCACTTCCCGCCTCCCCGCCATGGCCGCCGCTCCGGGGAGGGAAAAACGCGAGTCTGCCGGCGGCCAAGGCCCGGCCCGGCTGCGGAGGRCGGCGGGGGAGGCGGGAAAATGGCGGCGGCTCCTTGAGGGAGGCGGCGCGGCCGCCTTGGGGTGCCGCCACGCCTGCTGCCCTTCACGGCTGCGTTCGCAAACACGGCTGTGTTCTTACATGCGGGCTGGAAAACTGTCGTTTGCAGACAGCGCTGCCTGCCATCGGCCCGAGCAGCTCATGGAAAGTCCCAGAAAACAAAAAGAAAATAAAAATGACAGCAGGCTACTAAGGCCCATTTTCATTAAAAACGAGAGACGACCCCCAAACAGATTTCTGAGGAAAAACACATCATCCCAAAGAGTAGCCCTGACTAATCCTGCCTCGCCACAGTCACCTCCCCGAGGGCTGCGCAGGGCCTGGGTATTGCTGCTCCTTTTGCTCTTGGACTAATAAACAAGAATAAATTGCTGCTCCTTTTGCTCTTGGACTAATAAACATACACAGGGGTTTTGGTCTATAATGCAAATTCCTGCAATCCAAGCAGTGCCTGCCAAATACCTTATATAAACATGATTAGGTGTTCCGTAGTGATGAAGCCCATCACTTCCTCAGCATGAAAAATGTGGATATTTCCTTGGGTTTTCTGGATGAAAGGAGATATAAACATGCATGCAAAAACCGGAGCAGAGACTGCACACTTCTAGAGTTTATTGTTTTAAATACATAATCCGAAAAAATGCTATGCATTTCCCACTGTTGAATCATATTAAATAAATATATTACTTTGGGGTTATGTTATTACTATTTTAAAATAAGAACTGAGCCTGTTTCAGAAAGATCATGACGTGTCTATCTTTGGCAAACCTGGAAGCAATTTATTTGCCAAAGATTGCTAAATAGGTTTCAGGGTCTGATATTCTTCTGGCCATTATTTCATTGGACTTAAGTTTTGTTTTGGATTTTTTTGTTTGTTTGTTTGTTTAAAATTATATTTTGTTTGTTTGCATTTAAAACTACGTTTCTGGGTGGCTTCACCCCAATGAGGCGGACAGAGTGCTGAAGTAACCACAGATTTTTATAAAAGAGATTTTATTGTATGTCTGTCAACAAGAATAGTCTTTATGAGCAGCTTTGAGAAATGTGACAGTTTAATTCTTTACAAAAGTCTCCATAGATGACTTTTTGATATACATGCTAATATTCTGAAACTGAAAAAAAAAAAAAAGCTTAATTACAATTATATTTTAACCCCTTCACCTTCTGCTGAAAATAGAATAGGCAACACTTAGGAAAATGCTTCATTTGTTTGCTGCTTGTACTTGCTAAAATACTTGATAAAAAGCTGTAATAAACAAAAGGCCTTAAAGGGACTCTGGATGCCTCAGAGCAAATTATCTTCAACAATTCCAGGGAGCTAGAATTGTTTCCCTCCCAGTTACTGCAAGTTTCCAGTTTTCTCATCCAAACTGAGTAGCCTCAGCTTCATCATTTTAAGGGGAATAAATATGTCACAGAAACCTATAAATGTGAAAAGTACCGAGGAATAAGTGAACTCCAAGGAGGACCAGGATCTAATTCTGATATCTTTGTTTTTCATAAACAAAACCAAAGTGACCTAGAGAAACAAAAGACCCACAGAGAGAATTGACTTTAAATAAAATGCTTCTCCAAATCTCCTGTAAGGCATCAAGAGGTCTTTAAGGAATCTTTCACCATGCAAAAATAGTATATTCTTTCCCAGTTTACATTCATCTTGTAGCAGTTTATTTACATACAGATCTCTGGTTTGTGCTTTTAACACATGAAAAATAAAAATCCTACAATTAACTTGCTTCATTCCAGTTTATTTAAGTCAAATTATTTCTTGCTGTATCCAACAAAATTATATCCATGGCAAAAATGTCACTAGACATTACTGATGCTGATATATACTTACTTTAACAGTGATGATAGATTGCAAAACAGTACCTTGTTAATAAAGAACTCACCATTTCTCTCTTATCTGATGTGTATCAACTATTTTAACCTGCACGTGTCATTTTCAATACAGAAAAAAAACATATATTTCCTGTCAACAGGAAATATCAACACCAATTTGTGCATGATTTCTGTTCACCCTTTTGTGTATCTTTGAGTATTTCTGTGGCAGAGGGGTATTTTTTTCTGTGCAACAAATATTGAGTGGAGAACATACAAAGTAGACAAGCAATAGACCCTTCCTGGAAGATGTTTTTTATTCTGTTTTTTTCATATATGAGCGCTGCAAACAATCTTCCAGGGATTTCAAAGGCATAGCACCAGCCCCAGAAAGACTCTCCAGTTTTGGATAGATAAGGGAATATAATAAATCGCTAACTCATTGTACTTAACACGAAGCTGCCCAAGGCAGTGGGTGTAGGATTGTCCCAGACTGACCATTCCTGAATTCACCCACAGCAGGACTGAGAACTCCCATTTCTACGGGTTTGTGGGGGTTTCTCTTTTCTTTTTTTTTTTTTTTTTTTTTTTTTTGATAGCAGAATGAGCCCCTCATAGGTAGCAATTAGTTAGAAAGAGTCATTTTTAAGCCATCAAGAATAGGTCTGTTTAAGAGGGTAATTGCCATTAATTCAATGGCACTTGAGTTGCAAATCTATCAGGAAGACGTATTATATATATGTAAATATATATTTTTTAAAAATCTTGTAACTGGTTAGCTTCAGAAAAAAGAAATGTTATTGGACAAACCTGGGGATTTTCTGTGATGGTCACAATAAGTATCTAAGAGAAGTCAAAGCAAGACACTCTTCTTGGATTAAATAATTCCTTACACATACACTCATGTCAAGTTTTATTCTCTTACAGCATTGTTATGCTTCTGGAGATGGAGACTGATACTCAGAGGAAAATCTGATTGCACAAGAAAGTACCAGAGACAGCTTTCATTTATTCATACAGCTTCACACAAATCTGGAACCACTGGAAATATTCACTCGTTTGGTATGAAATAATTTCTTCTAAATTTAGAATCATACCAGTGTGGTCAAGTCCCTTTTTTTTTTTTTTTTTTTCTTTTTGCTGTTCTTTTGGCGTTCACATTATTAGCTCTAGAACATCTGATATTTTGCAGCAAGAGGCCTACAGATATGTTACTCATTAACAAAACAGTGATATGTAAAGAGCAAACCCAGCCACAAATTAACTGATATTAGGATCTTCTCTCCTTATACAAAATCAGAGTTGAGTTACCTGGGAAAAACAGGTAACCTTAAAATCAGCTTAGGGGAAAAGTAAACTAAATTCATGCAGTCATGAAAATGTTCAGGGGAAAATAGCTTTTTATATTTATTTTGATAACTTGGTACTTTTAGCTACTTTTTTTTTTTTCTTTCAGTAGGTTGCATTGAAAGAGAAAAGAAATTCCACAGAGCCTAATTCCTCGTTGCTTTGAAGCGCATGTAGGTGGTGACCATCTTTTGGCTGACACAAAAATGAGGTGGACGAGACTCCCAAAGATGAAAATTCTTTATGGTGTGACCTAAAGCGCCACATTCTGCAGCTGGCAGCGGCAATCCGCGTCCTCTGTGGAGGGGACACACTAGATTTCCCCAGCCRTGGAAATTTTTGCTGTCCTCATCAGTGAAAAACAGCCATGAAATCCCACCAGATCACAGCCGTGGTGTCTCTTATGTGCTTTGGAGCAGTGGGAATGATTCTGTGGGAAGCCAATGAAGAGTCARGCTTAGAAAGACTCGGGCTGACACTTCCATATTCCATTAATCAATCACCACTTCCTTTATGCAAGTGATTATGTTAATAAGTTTCCTTCATATTATTTTGTTCCAAAATTACTGCAATAAATCAGTCTTTGTGTAAAACCAACACATCAATGCAATTTATTTCTTTTTTTTTCCCCTAAAAGCATGCAGTGGAATTTCAGAGGGAAACATAATTTCGATTAATAATTTAATCCTTTAGCTTCAAAGGTCTGCAATGGATTCCAGCCTAAGAGAGAAAATAAGTGTGCTTTCTCTGCCCTAGCAAAGAAGATCTAGCAGGCACGGCTCCATGCTAGGATGCACTGGTGCAAGGAACAGCAGCTATTAAAATACACGGACACTTAGGACCCCGTTTAGCAGAAGGCGGCCACCCACAGCCCGGCGACTCGAGCTGCTCCGCTTGTCCTTTGTACCATGCTGAGTGTCAGGATGGATGCTCCCGTCCCACTGGGGGCTTGCCCCTTCCCAAAGGCTCCACTGGCTCCAAAATCGGTTGGATTTTGCCCAGGTTTTGCCCAGCCTCATCGCTCTTTATCCAGGGAGGTCTGACGTTTCTCCTTCCACGCAGCCTGGGCTCAGGAGCAGCCATCCTCGCTCTCCTGCAGCTCCCAAGGGATGCCTTGCTCCAGGGCAGGCGGGAACCTTTCTCCTTGTTTTGCCAAGTCCCGCACAAAATCGCCTTGTGCTTCTTTTCTTTGCTGCTGTCCCTGGAAGGGAGCGGGTCCGACGGGCTGCCCGGGCCTGGCAGCACATGAAGAAGTGCCGGGGAGCGCGGGGCGCTGCGGGCTCGCGGGCACGCTCGCTCTCCGGGGCGCTTCTTCCCTTTTCTTGCATTCCCAGAGGAAGCTGCTMCGGAGCTGACACTGCTTTAGCAACTGTCCCAGTGGGAGTAGTGCTGATGTCCACGTGTGGCCGCAATGAAAAACCAGCAGCCACGTATAAACTGAGCTGGGATCAAAAGGAAATAGAGGGAATCGTAGCCTACGGCTTCCTAACGCGCTTGTTGTTCCATGGTGATATAAATCTGGCCTTTTCTTTTAAGTACAGTATTCTAAGAGGCCTATCAAGTACCAATACCAGGAGATCTGCTCCTGTTTCTCTTCTCATTGTTAGTTAGCTCATTAATGATTAAATCAAATAAACATAATTTATATCCTGCAGCATATAAAAACTTAATGTATAAACCAAAATCCATCTCAAAGYTCCAGATCAGGGAAAACAGACTTTCTCCATGAATCACTGCTTGTCTGAGGTAGACCACATTATTGAATTATCAGCAATTTTAGTTCCTAATCTATTAAGTTATATACAGTCAAATACCAGCACACATCCCCAAAATTCTTCTCTCTGTTTAATCAGAAATGCTTGTAGTTACTAGTAAGTTTCCATCATTTACTTGGTCATAGAACTGAAATTTCTGTGTATTTTGAGGGTCTTGAACGTAACTTTTAGTAGTCTCCTGCTGCATACATAGAGTAAAAACAGACTGTATCCACATTTGATGAAAAAAATAAAAAGGAGGAAAATGGAAATTATGGTTAGTGGTGAAATCCTGGAGCGATGAAAGGCTCAAAGGTAAGAATCAGGTGCTTATCCATTTCGGTGGGCTGCTCCGGCTCGGTTCCTTCGAGCGTTTTGCTAGCGCAGCTGCAAAACCCGCTCTTCCCAGGAGTCCTCCCACCGCCTCAGATGGAGATGCTTGAATATAGCTCTTCGATCTGCCCTTTGAAGTAATCCCTTAGCTCTGGTCTCTTAGCCTTTAACGTAGGCGTCAACAAACCGTTCTGCACTGAGAACATATCGGAGTGAATGTAAATAGCTTTGACCTAAAAAAAAAAAAAAAAGGAGTAAAAGAGTTTTAGTGGAGAATCCTGGACAGGGATGTCCCTTGCTTTCAATATGTAGGAAAAGAATCAGAGTCCGGCAGATATTTTGTCCACTGGTTATCAAACCAGGGAGGTTACCCATGTCCCTGGAGCGAGTTATTACCTCTGTACCCAAAACTTACAGTAAATTTAATGTGAATTTCCAGCCTAATTGGAAGCAGCATCCCAGTGTATGTTGCTCGAAGGAACATTTACAACTTGCCAGCATAAAGGCTCTCTCTTATAAAACATTATATGTGACTACAGTGAGAATAACAAATGCTAATAAGTCTCCATTCACTAGAAGTGGACAAAGTGCATGTCTGACCACAGTAGAAAATGCATTGTTTTTTTCACTTTACCTGCTCAAAGGAGTGAAGTCCACTCTCCTTACCTAACCGCACCATATCTTCCATTATTGCTCGCTGCAGTTCCTGGGTTAAAACACACAAATTCTCCATGAAATATCAAGAAACATCTTTACATAGCCAAAAAAAAAAAAAAAAAAAAACAGCACTTGTCAGCAAGAAAACACTTTTCTGAGCAAAGTTTTAAGTGCATTTTGACAAATATAATTATAAAAATTAAATGGTTTTAAAATGTTCAAGTGCAATGCTGCTCTTTCCTCTGAAATGTAAGGCCAATATTTTCAAGGTGAGAAAGTAAAGGCTGAATGTCTTAATTTGCAGTCCCTCAACCATTTGCAACACTTTCAGATGCAGAAACGTTTCCCACTGATAYCAGCAGGCTGATTGCATGGAATCAGCACTCGGTGATGGGGCTGGAGGTGCTTTAACCTCTGTAACTTGTCATTTTTATAATAATTCCTATTACATCATTAACTGAATTCAAATGAAACCTGAAGGATGTTATTTTTCATGGGATTTTTTTTTTGTTAAATGTGGATTTTTTTGCTAGGGAAAGGTYCAATCATTTGCTAGAGAAATAAAGATGAATCTTTTCTTGGCCRATGATTACTGAATCTATACAAATAGGAACAAATTGGGGAGTTTAGACATGCCTTGCTTATTTTCTTTTCTTTTTTTTTTCTGAACATCCCATTGTTTCATAGCTTTCATTTCTTGTAATTACAGGGCTAATTAAACATGCAGACGAGAGTATGTTGCCTATCTTCATCATAACGGGCCTTTAGCAGGGCCTGCGTGAGCGTTCACCACATCCCGCTGTGGGATCCTGCATGGAATCCGTGCACGGATCCGCAAATCCTGCACCCTTGGATCCACAATCCTGCAAGGAATCCTACACGGATCCACAAATCCTGCATGGAATCCATGCACGGATCCACAAATCCTGCATCCACAGATCCACAATCCTGCATGGATCCACAAATCCACAGCCCCTGTGGGATCCTGCACGGAATCCACAAACCCTCACCATCCTGCACGGAACTCGGATCCCAACCAGCCTACGGCAGCGACGACCTGCTGGGGCCAGCCGGCACATGCCCTCGTATCCAGGTTAATCCTGCTTAAGAGATTGCTCGACTGGGGTTAATTTTCCATGAAGAAATAGTCCTTGACAGGGGGATCATTAATAACAGAGGCTGCCTCTAACCGGGCTCTGCAAGGAAACGCCTGCGGTGCACACGGATGATGCGAGGACAAACCTTGTTTTTGCAGAGCTCCTCATAGGTTCCATCAAACCCTCTCTTCTTGGCCCAGCCTGGCATAACTTCTGAATCGGGTACCACAATTCCCACCAGAAAGGCCTGCGGGAGAAGGAAAGTGAGTTTCGGCTGAAGCCCGAGCACCACCTAAGGCAATTCACTGATGTGACTAATTAATCCTGACGAGTTTGCTCCCGTGCAGACCTTTGCTCGCTGGGTTTTCCAGGCTGGCCCTCTCCATGCTCAGGGACCACAGCACTGCCCAGAGCAAGTGGCCCCAGTGCCTCCATTAACCAAGGGCTTCAGGTCACTCTGCTTGGAGGGACAACCACCCCTGGTGACCACTCTGCTACTGGCACTTAGTCTTGGGGCTCTTTTGCTTCTAAAAAGTCATGATTTTGTAGTCTATGTCTCAGCAAGGGCATATATCTCCCCTTTCTATAACATGTAGACACCACCAGCACAGGGCCTCATGGCTGAGAATGGGCCCAACATGTGGCTGCGGTTCCATGATGGAGCGCTGGGGAAAAATGGGGTGAGGTTGGGCAAAACGGGAAGCAGCCAGCTCTGAGCAGTGGCTGCATCACTTCACACAGCGTGGCCAAGGAGAACGGTAGATACCTGAAGAGTGACCATGGCCAAGGAGAGCGGTAGACACCCAAAGAGTGACCATGGCCAAGGAAAGTGGTAGAGACCTGAAGGATGATGCCAAAGCAAATGTAAAGGCTTGTTCTTTGGCCGCAATATCCTCCAAGGTGCTTGGGGTTACCTCCTAGACAGCCAGCTCAAGAGCTGAAAACATACATCAGTRCAAAAAACGTGCCCTGTGCCACTTGCGTGTTCCCCTTGATCCTGCCTGGTTCTTTATTTACCTTAACAATCTGAATTTTTTTAAAAGCAAAGAATAAGAACTTAAGTTTCCTGAGAGGTTTATTTTTACCTGCAAGCTGTCTCCATGGACGTATATCTGGGCAACGGGGTCACTGCGGATATAGATATTCTCAATCTTCTCTGGTGCAATATATTCTCCCTGAGCGAGTTTAAATATGTGCTTTTTCCGATCGATAATTTTAAGAGTTCCATTCTGTTAGGAGAAAGAAATAAGAGTTCCCAGAGATGTTATTTAGCCCCAGAGACACAGCCCAGCCTGCCCTTCCATCACCACTGCATTAAAGAGGTAATGAYAGAGCTGAGAAATGCGGCCCTCTGCCAGCACGTGCAAAGTGTCCAATGCAAGAAGAAGTGTGAACGCCAATTTTCATGCATTTGATGATAAGAAACGAAGAGTGTTAGTAGCAGGTTGTTCAACAACAGGCTGAACAACTTTCATTTGGAAAATAGGGCCAGCAAAAGGATTTTAAAAACTTCTTAAAATAGTTTCATAAAATAGTTTCTTAAAACAGATTGCATTTCCAATTGCAAAATACTCCCTTAAGTGAATTGAAATTCCTCTTTCAGTGCAAAAGTTCAAAAATTAAGTCACATAAGAAGTCTACGAGCAGTACGCACAGGTAACCATTTCCCTATGTCTCCCGTGTGAAGCCAGCCTTCCTCGTCCAGCGCTTCGGTCGTCTTCTCTTCATCTTTTAGATAACCCTTGAAAACGTTTGGTCCTTTCACACATATCTACAAAATAATCAGAGATGGCAATAAATTATTTTACTATTTTGCTATAAACTAATACAAATTCAAAGAGTAATTCATTGAAATATTTTAGTTATTGATTTCATAATAACTGGGCTCTATGAAACAAAATGCAGAACAAGCTATAGATTTTTTTTGCGCTAATGGATGCATGAAGCAGGGAATGCAAAAYTGATTTATCTGTAGTTCATTTTTGTCCATCTGGCACAAGCCAAGGACGTTATTGCAGGAAGCTTAATTTCTGTGCAACACAGAAATAGCAGCAGTGCACAAATAGCAGCAGTTCAGCTGTCCTTAGCTGAGCGTTTTTAAAGTAATCAGATGTAGACATAGGTGAAAGCTCTGTTATATCCTCTGGTTAATTACTGCAATTATTATTGCTCTACTGCAGTTTCCCTTTCCTGACTGTCATGCAGAACACCTCCACAACCAYGCTCCCTGGAAAGCTAAAATGCTGCTTGCCCTGCAGCCTAGCACAGCATTAACTGCCAAGAAACGGTTAGACAGAAGTGCAAGTTGCTACCTCTCCTTCTCCCTTGGAAGCAAAGTAATTCAGCTCCTCCACATCCGTCAGTCTGATCAAATTGCAGGGCAGAGGGGCTCCCACGTGACCTGGGAATCAAAGTTAGTAACTCATTTGTCATCTCTCCCATAACCAGTAATTAGTATTTCATTATTAGTTGCTTGCACCTTGCAGATGCCCCTGGTGAGGCTGGGTGTTCTTGCAGCAGTTGTGCCTGTGAGCAGAAGCAAGCTCCTCAGCTCAGGTTGTGAACTACATCGGTGCAATATTTAATACGACAAATTTATTGTAAATCCAGCAAGACTAGTAACCCAGACAAGGCAAACAGCACAGGGAATACAGAGGTCAGCTTATTGCAGACTGCATCGCTCAAGGGTTGRTTCCAAACCTTCGCAGGCAAACTTGCCCAATATCATCTTATCCATATTGATTTATTTGGGACTAGTGGTATTTCCAAGAGCATTACACTGCCTTACAATCATTCACCCAGCAGCAAAGGCTGTGTAACACCCTGTGACATTGCAGTGAAGAGATTTCTAAAGAAATGTGTGTTTCTCTCCCTTCTGGCAAGGTCAGGAGAGATCATCGTGTACCTGATGTCCAGTCCCCGGGGGTGGTGAAGGTGCAGCCGGCGGTGCATTCCGTTTGCCCGTAGCCCTCGTACACCTGGCAAAGAAACCGCATCTTGAAACCCGCACAATATTTCACTGTTAGAAACTGTGCAGAAATATTTCACTGCGCAGAAAGTCCGGTGGCCGCCTGTGCAGCGCAGCGGGGCGAGGATGAGGGGGACCACCGGCTCTGGAGCCACGCAGYGTGCTATGCAACGGGCAAAACCTCTTGTTTGTGGAACCTTCTGAAAACATACCCCTTTTCACTAACTATAGGCTTTTGAGTGAGGCCTTTGCATTAAAACTAGTGCAAGGCTTGCTAGGGAGAGGGAAGGAGCCAAGTGAGGTCTTTAACGTGGGCCCCTGGAGGCGGTGATGTTCCCGCAGCTACGGGCAGAATTAACCCGGTGTCACCAGCATCTCTCCTTCAGCATCTTTACCCGGGCACATACCAGGGGTGTCGGGGCCAAACCTCTGCTTTTCGGGGGCAATTTCGGGCAATATCAGTGACAGGGGCCCCCGTCGGGAGGCGGGCAGGGGAGGGCGGCGCGCCGGGACGTGCCCACGCACCTGGCAGCCGAGCGCGGCGCGCAGGAAGCCCAGCACCGCCGGCGACGCGGGCGCAGCGCCCGTCACGATCATGCGCACGCGGCCGCCCAGGCTCGCCTGCGGACGGAGCAGAGCACAGCGGTCACGGACCCGAGCCCGGCGGGCCGCCAGCGAGGCGCTACGGGCAATGACAGCAGTTAAAGGTGGAGTAAATGCAACGCGTTCCTATCCACCACGGGAAGAAGGCCCGGGGGAACTGCTCCTCCTCCTCCTCCTGTGGGAGCATGCGGGGTGCCCCCCTTTATTTCTGTTTTATAAATTATGTTTTAAGGAAAAAATAAATAAAACAAAATAAGATAAAATAAAATGTAAAAAATAAAAATAAAATAAAATAAAATAAAATAAAATAAAATAAAATAAAATAAAATAAAATAAAATAAAATAAAATA